AATACCACAATTGTTTAGCACACATTTGGTCAAAGGATCGGCTTCACTTGTCTCTTTGGCGAGTTGTTGTGTGATGCCAAGAATGACGATACTCACTGACAATGCCGGCGAAACGTTTGGGAATGTACCACGTCTACGGTTTAACTTTGGAAATGATCATGTAGACAATGGACTCCGGACTTGGTGCGTTCCTCTAAATCTTCCTACAAATAGGACCATGTTGCGAAAACAAGGTCAAACAACCTCTAAGAATTACCTTTGCTTGACTAAAAGATTAAGGAAGAGAGAGGGTGTTGAGCCGCCTTCTAAAAAAAGTCAAACAAACTTGTCAATTGAGTGATGGTTCTAACTAAATTCACAATCCTTCAACAGGCATGCCAAGCTCATCAGCCAAAACAGACGGACGAGATTACGCAACTCCCGTCATGCTTTTCCTTGCGTCAGCAAACACTAGTGACACCAGATTAAAGGGTTCTGACTAGTCGTTTCTTAACTTGACTTTCGCATTTACAGTCTTACATCTCGTCAATTGAACCATAGATACTTACAGACGTAGGCCTTTTCCCTGGGTCCTTAAGCCTTAACGACCAGGGGCTGACGTTAGGCTATTTTCTAATTACTCTGAATACGTACAGACGTTAACGCACCATACACACATACACATGCATACATAAGCTCGAATAAAAAATAATTATGTTAGGAAAACCTTTATTTTGGATGAAAGTGCATGAAGAAGAGATTCGTTGGTCGATCTCACCAGATGAGGACGGATGAATCTCGTTGTACTACCGTTTGGCTTTTATACGATGCTCAGGTTTACGCAGTCTACGGGACTTCCTCTCTCGTTTCGGGTGAAAACGTCCTGAGCTTTCGTCCATCATATGATGGACATCATCAGAGCTGGGTGTCATTCTTGTTTAAGTCTTACGTTGACACTAAAGCAAGAACACTATCCGGCTCTATCTTACTTCTTATATAAGGTCGATAAACTTTGAACCCAAGCAAAATCTTGCGAACGATATTTGTAGCAAAGTGGGGAAGGATAAGGTAATCAATTTATCTGGTACAACTCTGGAGGTTAGTGTATTACTTTTATTGGAAAGAGGACTGAATTTTGCTCTTCCAAATGAGGTAAACCAATCTCTGGAAATACTTGTTGAATTAATTAGCTTATCTGATAGATTGCCTGAAGAGATTGAACTGGAGGTGATCCCTCATTTTGACCATATAATACAACCTAAGAAAGATTGTTATATTAGTAGGATTTCTAGATATCTGCGTAATAATAATATAATTATAATGAAAGCCGACAAAGTTGGAGCAGTGGTAGTCATGACTAAATCAAGTTATGTAGAAAAGATGCTAGTTCATTTAAATGACAATCACACGTAAAGGCCTTTAATGAGTGACCCAACAGAAAGACTTAAAACTAGGCTAAAGGATGCCCTTAATGTATGCGTAAGTAATGGTGAAATGGAGAAGTGGAAAATGAATTCACTACTACAGAGAGATGCAATGACCCCCACGGCTTATGGTCTCCCTAGGGTTCACAAAGGGGGTGCCCCTCAAAGATTAATTGTAAATAATAAAGGAAGCGTGATGCATAAAATCTCACGTTTTTTATGCAAATAACTAAGGAACTCTGCCAATTATCGGCTATATTCAGTTAAAAATTCGTATGATTTTATGAAATTTATAGATCAGCAGACAATTTCAGAAGAGGATAGGCTAATAAGCTTTGATGTTGTGTCTATATACACAAACATTATTGTGCAAGGAGCTATTCAAGCTCTGATACAAACTCCGGAGGAACATCCAGAGATAATACAAGGAATAAGGTATGAAGATCAAGATGGTGTGGCCTTTTGTGTGGTCGCAGTCTCCTATCGTTGTATAGAAGTTGTTTGACCTTGCTGTCGCAATTTGGTAATATTGGTAGGAAGACTTAGAGGAACGCACCTTGTCCGGAGTCCATTGTATGCATCATCATTTCCAAAGTCGGACCGTGAACGTGGTACATTCCCAGACTTTTCGCCGGCATCGTAATCGACATCGTCAGTGAGTTTTGCCAGTCATAGCAGCATATTACAAGTCGTCAAAGAAACAAGTGAAGCCGATCCTTTGACCAAACGTGTGCTAAACAGTTATGGTATCTCCCCTTCTGACCTGGCCAATTCACATTTCCTATATCATCCTATCACGCCTTGACTGTCACCATTTTTATTTTTATTTTTTACTTGCTTGATTAAATGTGGTACAGTGTGCCCTTTTGAGCGGCTTTTATAAGAACCCTCAGCACTCCGCACTGGCCTTCTCACCCCCCTTCATCCTTGTGCTGGGAATGTTGATCAGTCTGACATATTGTTACGTGGTCCTCCTTTCCTAGCTCTTACCACAGTCTCTCTCTTGCCCCGTAAGATCTGTCTGCCCTCTCTCTGGTTCACATATTTTACTCGACCCCTGC